TGCTGGGGGCTTGAACTGTGGTCCCTGTGCTTTGCTAAGCTTGTTCTAAGTAGGTGCTTTAGACCACTGAGCCATCTCACCAGCCCTGAAATGGGTTTTGCTATGCATTTCAAATTGGCTTTGAACTTGCAATGATCATCCTGCCTTAGCTTCCGGAGTGCTGGGATTACAGGCATGCACCACCATGCCCAGCCCCAGGCTGGTCTTGAACTTGGCATCCTTTTGCCTCAGTCTCCTGAATAGCTAGGCTTGTAGACATTGCTGCCTCGCCTGGCCTCTCATCTGTTTTGAAGCACATACAGAGAAAGAATATTTAGATTCAGTACTCTGTTGTTTTATGTTTCTAAACTTCATGTCCGTGCCAAGTGCTGCAGTATATTATTTTAATTTGACTTTATGTTTTTGAGAACATTGTAGCAACCATGTGTGTTGTTCTTTTCTTCTTTCTTTCTTTTTTTTTTTTTTTTTTTTTTTTTGGTATTGGCAGTTAAACTCAGGACCTTGTGCTTGTCAGGCAGGTGCTGTGCCACTGAGCTATATCCCCAACTCTGGGTTTTCACATGTGGATCTAGCATTTGTTGAATGTCAGTTGTTAGTCCCTATCCACATCCTCAGCAACATTCCAGATAATCCCTTATTATGTTCTGGTGAGAAAAGGCGCATTACTATCGTAATTTGCCGTTACCCAATTGTTGGTGAGGCCAAGAATCTCTTCACATGTGTTTTGATCTGATTTTTCTCAGGGCCTCTGACACCCTTATCCTGCAGGGCCTTAGTCATACCAGGCCTGGCGTCACTTCCCTTTGAGGGAACAAGCTGCCCATCTTCAGAGTTGCTGAGTGCCTTGTCCAGTGCCATGCCTGCCTCTGCATCGGCCAGCCCAGCTGCCCTCCTGACAGGGCACGACACAGCTGACTGGGTTTGCTTTTTATCTCCATTTTGTGATTACGGCGTGGTAACCTTGGCCGAATGTGGAGGTTCTCGGCCTGTTCCTGGAGGGTAACTTTGTCTTCATGTGTGGGGCCCAGGTCCTGCCTGTCTCTGGGCGGTACTGGGCGGCCTCGGCTGACGCTGCTCCTCCTTGCAGGCAGACCTCTGCGTCATGACCTGGCTGCTGCACTACGTGGACCCTTTGGATCTCGGCTTCGTGGCAGCTGTCCTCACCATTGCTTTCAATCCGTTTTTCTGGAATGTGGTGAGTACTCGTGCACCTGACACAGCAGGTGAACCTGGCATGGGGGGGATTGCTGCTGTCCACACAGCCTGCCCTCTTTCATGCATCACCACCCTCTTCCTTGCTTCCCCAGCACTGCCTTCCTTGCTTCCGTGAAGTTCCTGCCTCACACCAGCAGCCCCGGGCTGATGTTGGGTGCTCTAGGCAGTGGGGTTGGCCCTGCAGGTGTCAGAGAAGCCTGAGAGGAAGGCTGCCCAGTGCTAAGGACTCCTAGTACCTAGCCCTCTCTTGGGTAGCCTTTTTGTTCATGAAGTCAATCACCTGGCTTGCAGGGGCTCTCTTTCTTGTCTGCCCTGTCACATAAGTCATTCTCTTGTGAAACCTCTCTCCTCAGGTGTATTGTTGTTTTTCTTCATGTGGCCTCCTTTATTTTATTCTATTTATTTATTTATTTATCTTTGGTGGAGCTGGGGCTTGAACTCAGGCCCTTGTGCTTGTCAGGGAAGCACTTATTCCACTGAGTCATCTCCTCAGCCCGTGTGGCCTCCTTTAAAGGAGCATGTACACTGCTGGGTGGCAAGGACAGACCCACAGGGTCTGAAATCCAAGGACAGACAGGCACCAGCTCAGACTGGACACAAGAGACATGTGTGGTGGGCAGGGGGCTTGGGCCCATGGAGAAGGTTTGGAGAAAGGCCTGGCCGTCAGCTCCTACACAGCCCTTCTCTGAGACACCCTCTTTCCCTGTCAGGATTTCAGGTGAAATACTTGGGTCTGTGGCCCCTCTCTGGTGGATGTCTGTGGAAGGTGGTCCTGGGCTGTTTGCCAGGGCCTTTGCTATGCCCATTGGAGTATAACCAAGCTGGTAGTCCCAGGGCGCAGTGCACTAGGGCTTGCTAACGCAGAGCCTCAGAACCCGGTGATTGCCCTTGAGGCTAATCTGCAGAAGGCCAAGATCTGTGTCAGCAACACACTGTTCCTGTCTGTTTTCATTTAACGTAAGCTCTTAGACCCAGAGCAGAACAGAACATGTTTTCATCTGGTTTATGACTTGGGTCTTTTCTCCATCTGGTGAGACGGGTAGGGGTGGTGAGGGTGGGGCAGCTCGCTCCGCAGCAGCCACGTCTTAAATGACCTGTCCTTGCTGAATGTGTGGACCTGCTTCTAGAGGTAGGACCCAGGCCAGTAAGTGGCCTCCCCTTGCTCCTGAGAGGCCTCAGCTAGAGATGGTCCTGATCTGACTCTGTCTCACCAGCCAGGGTGGGCAGCAGCGGTGCCTGACGCCCTCAGCCTTACCTCTGCTCACCTCACCCTTCCTGTGCAAGTGGAGCTGGCACCCCAAGGGGACACTGAGGGTGAAGATGCTGATGCCAGGCTCCAGCTCCTGTAACTGAGAGATTACATGTCTTGTCTATTGTTTTAGGCCACTAAGTTTATGATAATTTGTTACAACAGCCACAGGAAAAGAATGCAAGATGTTAGAATAGCTATTGAGCTAGGCATGGTAGCACATGCCTGTAATTCCAGCACTTGGGAGACTGAGATGGGACGATTGGTGCGAGTGAGAAGCTAGCCTAGGCTATATAGTGAGTTCAAGGCCCACCTGAACTACATAGTGATACCCTATCTCAAAAAAAAAAACAAAAAACAAACCACCCAAAAAGAAAGAAAGATCCTAGCTAACAGACCCCTGTAACTAGTGGCAGTACTGGGTGTGCATGCCCTTTCCTCACCCCAAGTTTTGCCCTGCATGGGGCTCCCACAGCTGGCTGGAATCTTTGTGCTCTAGCACCCTGCCGGCCTGGCCCAACAGTTCACGCACACACAGGTCTCTCAGGACCATGAGCAGTGCTGGCCCATGCACTGTGGCCCTGGGGACACTTTTATTCATGCACAAGCCCCCCTTGGTGGTTTCCTGATGGTGCTTCCGGCAGTGAATTTTTGCACACTGTGTGTTGAAGCTGCATCGTGGACTGTGATGATGTCCGGAACGCCTGAGGCTTTAGCTGCGCAGATGCAGTAAGGTTTGGAGGTCGGCGGCTCACATCTGTGTTTGGCATAGCAAGTTGGTTTTTTTTTTTTTTTCTTGGCCATAAGTTTTTGATTTCCTTCTTTTTGAGAAAAAGTATTCATTGGAACAGTTTGTGGTCATTAGTGGGAAAGAGAATGAGCCCTTCAAATCTTTTCAGACTGAAGAGAGGGACAAAACGTTGTGGTTCAGCGGGCTGCTTCCCTGGGGGAGCCACAGCAGCATGTGGAGGCTGGGGAGGCCAGGTGGGGCTTTAGCCCTGGCCCTGCCAAGTTCTGGGGAGGAGAAACCCTGCCACCAGCAGTAAATAGGCCACATCTGTAAAGGCACATAAAGACTAGTCATTAAATTTTAAGAACTGCCAATATTTGACTGGACTTACGTGGTTAACATTGTGCAGGGTGCATTTCATGCAGTATGTCAATAAGTCTCTACTATAACTGCTGTTATTATCCCCCTTGGAAAATGGGGCTTGAAGAGTATATTAGCCCATTTTGTGTTACTGTAACAAAATACCTAAGGCGTCCTTCCCAAAGTAAAGAGGTGCTTTTGGACTCAATTCCAGTAGCTGGGAGAACAGCCAGCAGTTGAGGCCTGGTGGTGGCTTGCACCAGAGTGGAGCCGAGGAAGTGGGAGGAGTGATCAGGGGGAATCTGGCAAGATTGGCCAACTCTAAGGTGGGGGCCTGAGTGGCCGGTGGGATGGCCTGGCCCTTAGGTGAAATGGACACTAAAAGAGGTGAAGGGTGTAGGGGACAAGGGCTCAACTTAGCTCATATAGACCAATGATGGCAGGGTCTCCAGGTGGAGTGATAGCTGTGTGTGGTTCTGGAAAAGTTCAGAGTGACTGGGACTAGAGAGTGACCACCCTGAACTGAGTCTGGCTGGGGACTAGGTCGCTGGCTCTGTGCACCCCTCTGGGGCTATTACTGGGAGAAAGGCTTCTACATTCTTGGGTGGGGTAGGTTGCCTACTCAGTTTGTTCAGTGCCCCACAGAATCCATGGTCCTGAGGCCTCAAGAGGCTCTTTCCAACCCCCTCTTGTGGGACCTTTGGGACTTCTTCATGGTGGCCCTGCTGTCCCTGACATTGGCCTCCCAGGGTCCCTGCTTCAGTCTGGCTCCTCCTCTGCTCCTGTGTACTTCTCTTCCACTGTCTGACACTCATGTATTAGCTATCAAGTCCTGCTGTGTGCCAGGCATTATTGGGCATATTCTTGGAAAGCCATTGAACAGTCTGACCTTGTAGGGCACATATATGTGTATAAAGGAAATGGGATAACAGTGGTAAGGAAAAAGTCAAGATGCTAGAGAAGCCATCAGGGACTTCACCCATCACCCTAGGTCTCCATCTGTGGCCCATAATGCTCTAAGTGTTCTAGGAGGTTGGGCCCAGCCCTGCAAGCAACTGCTGAGTGATGTCCTTCCCAGACCCCCAGAAGGAATGGAGACTTCTTGATGTGCTCTTTCCTGGCTCCATGGAAAGCCAGTGCCAGCGTCAGGCTGTGGCCCCGGTGTCTCAGTCTCTGCCCTGATAGGCTCCACCTGTCAGTAGGTCGGCACTTCTTGACTTCGGACCCTGGATCCATGGGCCAGGCCCGTGGTGCAGCAGTAGCAGCCAGGCTCCCTTCCTCTCCCTCCGCCCACCATGATATGCAGTGTTGCGTACCAGCACTAGCACTCAGACTGTGTCTGTGAGGAGGTGTCCTTCTTTGCCTGGCCAAGAAGCCCTTCTGGCAGGTGTCCTCTGGGTCCTAGCCCTTCCTGAGTGATCTGCACTTTTGGGCCAGGGCTTCCTGAAGGGCCTGCAGTAGCCCTTGTCAGATGTCACCTCCCCACCTCTTCCGTTCCCTGCTCTGCCTGCTCTCGGTCAGGGTTTCAGACACTGACTGGGGCTGCCCAACGTATTATAGGATGTCCAGCAGTGTTGCTGCCCTCCGTCTGTTAGGGGTCAGTAGCACCATTTCTAGACATGCCAGGTGTCGCACATGGGCCCTAGTGGACAGGTGGTCTGAGTAGCCACGTGTGTCTCATGCATCCCTTAGCACGGCTCCATGCCTAGTGCCCCCATTTGCTCTTTACGCTTTGCTCCAGCATCCCAAATTGCTATTGTGTTCTCCCTGGCATGTGCTGCACCCTGAGTAGCTGAGGGGGACTACTCAGCCTACCCTGGTACCAACACTCAGTGTGGTACCCAGGCACTGTGGGTTTCATGAACATGTATTGGGCTTTTAACTAGCTTCCTGTTCTGCATCCTGTGGCTGAGGTCCATTTCCATTTGGGACATTTTGGCATACATACCTGACTTTGTGGAAGAGAAGGCTGCTCTGGATAGCAGACATGGCAGTGTCTATAGCAGGCACAGCCGTTGCATCACCAGAGACGAGACAGGCCACCCTGTGTGGCTCTAGCCCCACTCCCCTCCTGGGCAAGAAGCTACAGAGCCAGCACCTGGATCAAATGTTGGCTGTGAGGGCTTCTGTTGTTTTTAAGAGTCAATGCTGCTTATGGTTTGCTGTCTCTATTACAATCAGAGACAGAATTTTTATAACCCACATCAAAGCAGACAGACATAGTGTGTGTAGAGACCATGGCTAACTGTGGCGTTCTGTCTAGGAAGGGTGGCCTAGTGTGTAATTATCTCCCATTTGGGACCCCGATAGAGGTGTGAAAGGGGTGTGTTGAGAGTCCTGCTGTGACAACAGAACTCTTACATGGGGACCGGATGTTTCCTGTAGGTGTGGGATGCTTTGGAGTGTGCTTGGCAATGTTCCTTTCAGCCCACTCACTACTGGAGGATCAGTCCCCCAGGATCAGCACAGTCTCTCCCTCCACAGCCCTTGTCACCTCCCAACTGAGGGGACATAGGGCAGAGGACTTTGCCAGAGTGACTTGGCTGTCCACAGTCTGGTCCTCACTCCCAGACCGGGACAGACTCCCTGGACTTGGTCCTGGAGCTGACGCCCTTGGCAGGGGTGGGCCCTGTCTCTGCAT